TGTAGGCCCGAATGGGCCAGTCTCGCCGCGGAGAAAGGGGCTAGTGCACTTTAAAAAAAAACCCCTAAACCCTAAAACCCTAAAGCCTAAACCCTAAACCCTGATAAGGTTCAGGGTTTGAGGGTGTGCGGATTAGGGGTTTCGGGTTTCGGATTTCGGACTTGGAGGATTCGCGTCTGTGGTTTGGCGCTTAGGGTGTAGGGTTCAGGATTTATAAGGGTTTAGGGTTTAGGATTTATAAGGGTTTAGGGTTAAGGGTTTATAAGAGTTTAGGGTTTATAAGGGTTTAGGGTTTAGGGTCTGTGGTTTGGCGTTTAGGGTTTAGGGTTCAGGGTTTACAATGGTTCAGGGTTTAGGGTTTAGGGTTCAGAAAGGTTTAGGGTTTAGGGTTCAGGGTTTAGGGTTTAGCGCTTTTAGGGTTTAGGGTTTAGGTTGTATAGGGTTTAGGGTTTAGGCTTCAGGGTTTAGGGGTGTTTGCAGTGTTTTATGTTTTTACAGTAGGTAGCTTGGCAAGGTCCACAAAGGTTTCAGGGTCATCCTTTTCGGATGGTGTCTTTACCGGGCCCAGAAGGGTTGCATGAGGGGTTGAGGTTCGAGCAGCAAATGCTGACAATGAGGCTTTAGTGTTTAGGTTCAGGGTTTCAGGGCGTTTAGGGTTTAGGGTTGGGGATTTTAAATCTTAATCAAATCCTCAACCAGGAAAGACCACAAACTTTCAGCTCCACCCCTCTGGACCCAAATACAAGGAGCAGGCTCTTCGGGAAACTCCAAGTCCTAAGCCATAAAAACCACAGACTTAACTCCCCCCTCTTCCGGCAGCAAAGCTCCGCCCGAAGCCACTGCGACGGTTTAGGGTTTAGGGTTAGGGTTTAGGGTTTAGGGGTGTGAGGACAGGCGACTTAAGCTCTAGAATGGGGAGAAAACTTGGGCATTATGCCTTTGCGTTATGTAGCCTAGCTTGGTTCTTCATCAAATTCCTGTTGCTCTCGTAAACCGTCGGAGCATCCTGGTTCCTAAGGAAATGCTTAGAGTTCCTTAGGACCTTATACAACCGATCAAAACCCTACAAAACCATGAAAGCCCCCGATCGAAGCTAACTCCGGTAAGTTCTTTAGCAAGAACTTGACAAACATCTACAGCACCCTTTAAGAACCACAGAGTTTCGTAAGTTAGTTACCAAGAACCCTAAACCCTAAACCCTAAACGCCACAGAGTTTCGGAAGTTAGTTACCAAGAACTTCAAGCATCCGCCAAACCCTCAACAGTCCGCAATCCCAGGCTCCCTCAACCCTATACCTAGACCTCAAACCCTACCTTAACCTACCAAGCCCCACTTTTTGTAGGTCCCTATTATAAACCCTACCATGGAATTTATAGGGACCCTACAAAAAAGTAGGTTTTGGTAGGTTAAGGTAGGATGTAGGGTTTAGGGTTTGGGGTGCAAGTAAACTGCCAAGAACAGCCCTAAAAGCCCAGAGCCCCAAAAGGGGAAACCCTAAACCCTAAACTCTTATAAACCCCTATAAGCCCTTATAAACCTTTATAAACCCTTATAAGCCCTTATAAACCCTAAACCCCTAAGCCCTGAACCCTAAACCCTATAACCCTGAATCCTAAACCCCTCAAGCCTAAATAAACCTAAACCCTAACCCCGAACCCTGAACCCCTGAACCCCTGAACCCTAAACCCTAAACCCTACACCCTAAACAACCCTAAACCCTATAACCCTAAACCCTAAACCCCTGAACCCTACAACCCTAAATAACCCTAAACCCCTGAAGCTGAGGATGGCGGCGAAGGTGACCGGTTCCTCGTCGGCGAAGCCCTTCCCTTTTCCTTTAGTTTAGGGTTTAAGGTTTAGGGTTTAGGGTTTAGGGAAGGGTGCTTGGCTTTTTAGGATTCCTGTGCGGATCCCTTTGAGCTATACGCAGGTCTTCTCTTCTTACGAGCTGCTCATTTAAGGGCTTGGCTATATAGTTATTGTTGGGTTCTTTGCAAAAAGGGGCGATTCATGTAAAAAGGTTCTAAAGTAATGTTTTCTGCAAGCATCGATGCAGTGGGGGCTCAATAGTTGGAATAGGTTTTGGGGT